GAGCAGCTCTGTTTCCCGGGCCTGCAGCACGGGATTCAGCCAGTGTTCACCCTCTGCTCCTCAGACAATACCCATTGTTTTGCTTTTTAATGAAGAAGAGTCGACATGGAAAAACTATAGGGATAGCTTAGTCGCTTCCTGGGCCCCGTGTAGCAGCGTAGGCGATGGATGGACAACTGTGCTCGCACAAAAGGCTAAAAAGTACAGTAAGTTGCATTGAGACAAATCACAAGATAACAGACAGGCTGTCACTCAGAATAAACTCAATATGTGTACATAATGCCACGATCATGCTCTATTTGAAAGCATCTGCATCTCCACTCATTTATTCAGTTTTTTCTCTTTAATCTGGCATCTTTAATTATGGAAATTTTAGACAAGGTCTGAACAAACAAAATTGATGTTTCCACAACAATATAATATTGGAAACAATAAAAAAAGCAGCATTAATTGATGTTTCAGGCTGCCTGGAGGCACAAGCTGAACATCACACACACATTTGACACACGGTCAGTGTGACAAACTACACTTCAGTTGAACGTGACGTGTGATTGATCCGAGGAGTACATTTCAGAAGCACAAAGAACAGCAGTTCAGGATGCTTCAGCAGCCTTTCAACAAAGTAGCTTAGACGTAATCTGGACAGACTGTTAAGAAGAGCAGCTAGAACAACAGCTAAGCCTGTAGTCCCCATATGGCATTTGAGCAAATAATGGCCGTAAACCTCTCTGCCTCCCTGACAGCAACGATATTCAGCAAACACCGACGGCGCTGAGATGGAAGCGGACGGTGTCCTGGAGATGCGGGTACAATTTCACTCTATGTCAGCTCCGTGGCCAGCTGAGGCAGAGGAGCAGACATGAGGCCTGAGCTGCATTCCTGTTGCACAGAGTCACGTTCCTGTGGTTCAGCATGAAGCATATAGACGAGCTCATACTGTACATGTGAGTCACAGAGATTGACTGCAGTCATTTCACATGCTTTCAGCCAGTGTGCACTTATAGACCAAGACACTCTGTAAGCGTTGCTTGTACCCTCTAATGGCTGGCTGAATGACAGTGTGGGATTGACTCGGCAATAAGTGCAGAGCAGATTGATCTACTGGGTAATGATATGACCGGTAGATTCACTGGGATATCGGCGCTGTGCTGTGCAGAGTTAACATCCAGAGGGCTGCCCCTGATCCTGGCTCATCGTCATGTGTGAGCCATCTTCTTTCTTGTAGACTTGTCTCAACCAACACTATGGCAACCACAAGGGAGGTGAAGACTTGCAAACATGCGCTCCAGAGTACGGCGCCAAGCAGCACTATTTACGAGACACACAAAGCATAGAGCAGGAATTGAACACGCAGCAACTGCTTATGGAAGAACGTGTGAGCATTAACAATGAATGAATTCCATCGTACACCTGCATGGTAACCCTTCCCCCTATAGCGCTTGAAACAATGAATATTTGGGTTTAAACTACACCTCACTTCGTGGCCACGGTCACATGTGAATTAGCCCCTCTTATCGCGGCAGAGGTCGTGCATGACAATTAGGCCCCGAGTCCATTTCGAAGATCGGCCCGTGCCTCAAGGGATTCATGAGACAGAGACTTCAATGGGAGCTTTTCATTTAGTAGAAAACGCAGACTCAGGAAGCAGTAAACCCCAACGAAAGAAAGTAGTACTACAACCATACAGCCAGACCACTCAGCATGACTTTAAGTCAGAGTTCAGATATCTGGAAATACTGATATGCATGCTGAAGAATGTTGGTATGATAGCACACACAGTGTTAACAGCTTTGAATGAGCTGAAGTCAGTTTAAATTATGTTTGGTTTTGTTCAATATACTTAGTTTGGAAATGCGTACCATATATATGCTGTCGATAGCTTTTGGGCTGCGTTTTATTAACTGGCAAAGCTGTCTTAAAATGAAACACTCTCTTTAAAAAGACAAACATGGACGTGGTAATAAAAGTTATTTCCTGTTGAGGACTTCAGTTTGTCCCGTAACCAACGTCAGAGCGTAGTACAATATGCATTTGTGTACGTAGAAAACTCACTAAACTTAGACATAATAAAACGATAAAACGCAATCATCATTGAGCGTCACGGTTCATTATTGACCTTGGCAACAGCAGCTGACAATCTCCACTCTGGTCCACTCAGACACTTGTTCCACAACTTCCCGGAGCTTTTGACCGACAGTGAACACGGTTTTGTCGACCACATTTTTCTTATGTTTACCGTCGGGCTGCCACCTATTAGTCGATCAGTCGACTAATAGGTCGTTTTGGTTTCAGTTGGCTGAGAGTTCTTTGGTTAAGTAAATGCTTCTTTTCTATACAGAATGACTTCCTAGAAACGTATGCATCTCTGGTAAACACAAGATCTCACGGGATTCTTTGTGGTGTTTTACAGATCTGTCGATTAAATCAACTCATCGTTCAGTCGTCAGAATCGTGTGAGCGTTACTCAACTAAGAATCTATTTGGTCGAGGACAGCCCTAGTTTACTGGCATTAAACGGCTGACAAGTTGGTGGAAATAGTTTTTTTATGAATTTTGTTGATTTATTCTTTGATAGGATGTTTAATAATCTAAATGAGGAACATTTAGATTATTATATTGCATTTTATTCAGCTAAGAATCAAATAACTTATACAGAATAAGGGTAACTCCGACAGTAAGAATTGTCATCAGCTATACGTGTGGTTACACACATACCTGGTCTGCTCAAATGATGGAGGTCATGAGTCAATATTTGAAAGGAGCCTTTTCACATCACACAGCATGGACCCAAATTCAATTACCGTACGTCCCTGATAAGAAAAATCAAGGGTTTAGTAAGGCGAGTGCGTGAGTGAGGTGGCACACAGCACGAGCCTTTAATCTAAACGGCTCCCCACTGGGATCCAGGACTTGCCTGTTGATCAAACATATGAGTGGCAGGTAAACAGCCCTGCTGCTACTCTATCACGCCTAGGTTGAGGGAAAACTAGCATCGAGTCCAAAATGTATGCAATTGTCAAACAAAAATAGTCTGTGACAGAATTGATAAAGGAACCGATGATTAACGAGTAGGTGAAAGGACCATTGATCAGCAGCCAAGCACACTTTAAATATTGATTCATCAGGTCTGGGAGCCACTGATAGGTTGGGATACAAAGACAATTGAGAGGCGAGACGAGGTCTCGTCTTAATCATCCGCTATTCAAACCAAAGTGAGGTCATCAGAGTCACACAGTGCCACTCGCTCCCGCAATCAATGGAGCCAACTGCCATCAGGCACGGCTGAGACACATTAGGGTTTAAATGGCAGTAAATAACACTAAATGCTGTGATTATAGCACTAAGTTCTTCTAATGCTGGAGGGCTTCCATCCCGCTAAGAACTGAGGCATCATGCTGGCAGCAGTGGGGGGGATCCTGACGTGCTGTGAGGATCAGCTTTTCTGACAGACAGCCCACGAAATCCTCGTGTTAGACAGGTAGGGGTTTGTTTTCTAAAAAGCATAACACGGATCAGTTTTGCACAACACATTTATTTATGGATCCTAATCGTTCTCTCATCCCCGACATTTACTGCTGTTTATAAACCCAGATGCAAGCCGGGGAAAACCTCGATGTGCTCAAAAAACAAAACAAAGTAGGTGACTCTAAAAGCGGAGGCGATTAAGAAGAAGGCCCAAATCCCTCTGTGTTGTGACGTCAAACCTCCCGACACCAAAGACTGCTGCCTCCAGGCGCAGAGCGGGATTCATCAGTGTCTGACAAGCAGCAATCGCACCCAACACACCCCATGTGGGACACGATGATTTAACTTCCACCAAAACTTGATCCCCTTTTCTGTGATGGGCTTACAGGCTAAAAGATCTGTGCCCATTAGAGAACCAAACATGAACCAAAACAAAAAGGGGAACAGATATAACACAAAACATTTCAAATCACGCTGCCGTGAGAACCTGCTTGCTCAAGTCAAATTCCCCTTACTGAGCAGATCATGTTTATGAGAGCAGTGGGCCAGGCGACAATCACGTTTGACCCACATTTTGCCAGCTCTCAAATTTCACCATCGCTGCACTGTTCTTCTATCTGGGCCTTTATCCACTGACTGAGGAGCAGTGTGCTGAGAATGCTCCTCATCAGCTATTTGTTACTCACAATAATGGCCTCTTGGCACACCAGAGAACATGGTGAATAAACGCTTTAGTCCTTCCCACAAATCAGTCAACAGATCGACGAGGGAAGTTTTAGTCAACCATCAACATAAACACTTTTCCTTCACCTATTAACTGACCTCAAGGCACTTTAAAGTCTGGAGGATCTGTCAACAACACCAGGAATGTTCGGCGTTCAACTCCCAGGTAACATAATTGTTGACATGCGCTGCTGAGGCTTTATGATGTGACAGATGTTTGGAAAGGAGCCGGCATATCTGGGCACTTAGAGCTTCAGTAGTGAGCCAGCGCCTGGACTCATAAAGTTGGGTGAAAAAGACTGCCATAAAAACAATAAATTTGACTGCAGGTGTCTGGGATGCCACTATTATAAAAGCCATCCAGGGCTGGACGTATAGGCTGCTGAATGAAAAGATCACTGTGCTGTAAAAACATTTTGTTATCTTGTGTTTTTTGATGCATTTCCGCAATGTGTGGCCAAAAGTTCAGAAGGCTCAGAAACGTAATGAGTCAAAAAATATGCTAATTTAAGTGTCAATGTCCTCACAGTCCAGCTGTAACTTCATCACTACTTTGATAAGAGTTCAAATAGACTTTACTTCACCCTCACAGTTGTATTCTAGCAATGCAACAGATGCATATCTATTGTACCTCTGACACAAATAGCTTTTTCTCGGAATACCCGCTTTTCCCCCTGAACAACAAAGGACAGGCGTGCTGGACAAACAGAGGTCCAACCTACACGCACAGCTGTCCCGTCCCGGGACATCGAAGCATGGAGGGGAACAAAGAGAAGACAGATGAAAAATGATTTGTTTTTCTCTCCTCTTACCAAAACGGTTGCGAATCGTTCCTCCAGTTCACTCTGCTCGGGCATGGGGAGTTTCAGAGGCATGTTGTGTCCTCTGAAATCAGCGTGCTGGTCCATGCTCCCCGCGTTCCCCATGTTTTCCTCTTTGAGTACAACTTTTCTCTCTCTCTCTCTCGCTCTCTCTCTCCTACTTGAGACAATCTCCACACGGGGAAAAAGTAAAGTAAAAAAAAAATTAAAAAAAATATCCGCACGTCCTTTGGTTTTTGTCGCCCTTCCACGGACTCCTTTTACAGGTTTGTATCCTGGTCACTTCTTCGCCATAAAGCACATGTGAAGGAGGCAGGGGACGGGTCGGAGAAGAGGCAGCAGCGGCGTGCAGCAGCAGCGGAGCCTCTGGCGAGGCATTTTTCACGGCGGAACGAGGAGACCTGGGGAAACTTGACTCGATCCGCAAGGACCTTTCTTCTCCGTTATCCGTATCTTGCACAATTTCGGCTCCACTCCCAGCCGGTAGTAATGACGACGACCATGATTCACGCTTATTGCAACTTCCCCCCCCCCTGTTAGTAGTGAGTGGAGGTGTGCTTCACTAATCCCTCCGCTGCTGACCAGCTAGTTAAGGAGGAGGGGGCTCCTCAAACACATGCACGCTCACACCGCGGCTGCACACACTCCCATCCCTCTCTACAATGAGTTCTTTCAGGGGCAAGCCTCCCTCTTCTTCTTGGGGCGTAGCTCCTAAAAGCCCGTAGCTAAGTAGATGATATTTGTCTGTGTTGCATTGTGGTACTTCGAGTCCATGGTGAGAGACAACACACTTGGGCGCTATAGTCATTATTTACTATTTGTATGTGTTTTTTTCCTCAATTTGTGATTGAGGTATCCTTGATTATAGAGTCACTGCAGGCAATAAGATCCTGGAACTGGCGCACCTGGATGTAATGCAGCAATTATTATTATTATTATTGGTTGCACCTGTGTGAAAACGTCTGTGAGTAACTTCTACTGTAAGTTAAGTACATGTGTCTTAAAACAGCATGAATAACATTGGTATCCTGAGTTAAAACATGTCTGAAAAACAAAGCATGAAAAGCAAAGTATTACAGAGCCTTTATTCTTATACAGATATAACTTGTGTTTTTAACCTTCTTTTCTTATCTATTGTGTGTATTTGTTTATCTGGGTTGTGCCAAGCTGAATACATTTGCTCTTACACGGGTAAATAAAGTTGTATTGTAATATAATTTACTTCTTCATAGGGCTCCATGAGATATTTTCAGTGACAAACAGAGAAACATGTTTTGTTTATTTAATCTATTTTCTAGAATTGAATGCTATACTCGGAGGGAACCTGTGATTAGTTTAACCTTTCCTGCCTCCTACTCTTGTCTCTAACATCTCTCCTCAGCCATTATCCACGGGACAAAGCCTTGAGCAAATACAGACAGGTCTTTTGTCCAGGTTCTGTCTGAGGATTTATGATTTTCAAATATTCCCTGAGTGAGAGCAATGTGCCTTTTTTTTTTACCAAAGACATGTTGACATGAAAAGAACAGGTGTTTTCTTTCTATGACAAGTCAAAATGTCTAAAAGCAAGTTCACCCAAAGTTACAACAACAATTTTATGATAACACAGCCACTGACACGTTTATGCTCCCTCAAGTCTGATCAAATCTGATCTGCCAACAGGGTGGGGACCACATTATGCACAAGAGGGTGACATCAGCATGCAGCGCTCTGGAGACAATCCAGAGGTTCTCCAGATGCACAGTGTTTTCATTCAGGCTGCTGGACTGATTCAGCGAGGGAGGGCGTCACATCTGACGATGCTGGCTGGACACATTGAGGATGCGAAACACGGCTGACTGACCTCATACGATCATTATGTGTTCCGAGTTAAGCTGATTTGCTCTGTCTGAAGACGCCTCCTCTTGTGTTGTTTAATATATGTACGTGTGTACTACATGTTAATGCACTTATTGGATTTTACTTAAGGAGAGGACTGTGAAGGAAAGAGGTGAACGATCAGAATTCAGCCCAACAAATACAAATATAGCACCAGGGTTTGGATGAAAAAAATAAAGAAGAGTATTCACATTAGCTTTAATGAAGACAGATAATGTGGAATTTATTATTCAACTATTATTCAATTCAAGAAAGTGTACAAAGATCAAGTAATTAAATGGCATTAACTTAATGAGTATTGTTTATGTATTTGGAGCAGCTGGCCTGTAATGTAAGGTTTTTGCTCTTACTTTCATCATGTGTATTACTTTGTTGCAGATTACAGCCTAAGCGTTGTGTTGAATGTGTACACTAAAGTGACAACAAAAATATAACAAATACTGGGTAACTGATCATGAGATAAGGAAGAAACTGTGGAACAGGTGGGCCTATTAACCCCCTATTGCTCCCCTACTCTGTGCACGTGTACATTATTCCTATGATGGATTATTACATGGCCCCATGTTTGCTGTGTGGTAATCTCATTAAACACAAATTAATTAGTTTTTTTTCCACATTAGCCATCTTAAAGCAGGGCCCACATGAAGGCTCTTATCTTATCAGTTTAAAATGTGCTTCCGGGGCGGTGGGGGTCTGGGGGCCCGGCTGGTAATACGACTTGTGAAGGAGGGCCAAGTTTCATTCACCAGCATATTTTTTTTTAGTTCTCATACAATTCTGTCTTTCATACACAGAAGTCTATATTCGTTATTCATATGAACATAATTCCTTTTTATTCAGAATACATGCGAGTGACTGTGTACTTGGACTCAATAATCCACCTATTATCTTGTCACAATAGTAAACAAACAATCCTCACTGTATTGTGACAGCAGAGCTGTGCATGACATAAGACAGACTATGAATGAGCTTCAAAACAATAACGATAATACAAAGCTTCTCTCCATTATCTGCAGTGAAAAAACAATAGAGGACATGTGATTTCTGACACAGCTGATGGTGACTCACAGCACTAACTAACAACAGCAATGCCCTGACGATATCTTGAATTAGTTAACGTCTTGAGTGCTTTTATATAACATGCATACTGTACGCACTCGTTCTTTTTTTTAATGTATGGGTGGAGGGGGCACCTTCCAGCTGCAGCTCTGGGACGTCTGGGGGAAATATGAGAGACTCCAGATATATCCACAAGGAAATATGAAATGCAAAGAAGATGCCAGAAATAAAAGGCAGCACAATCAACCCACTGTGTGAGGAGGCTCACAGGGAGTTCATTTGGCTGCTCAGTTAAGTAACATCTGTGAAATGAAGTTCTCTTAAGCAAAAAGAAGGCCCGTGGAGTTATGGCCCTCACAAGGCTGGAGTGGAGCAACAAATGTGTCTTTGTGTTTTATTTTAAGGGCTGTAGACGTCAGCGATTCAAACAAGTAGAAATGCAGATCTAGCAGAGCAAGCAGTGATCCCGAGTCTTCAGAACAACAGCGCCCTCTGATGTATGTAAAGAGTATTGCCTCTGGATCAAACTACTTTATTAACACAAACATTTTCAAGGCACACTTAACAAATCATATCATTTTGGGCTTGGTGAAATCAACCTGTTCCACGGTTTCAAATCTGGAAACAATCACTCTTTAGTTTCCACCATAGCATTAATTAGGAGGCCAGAATTGATTTGCACCTATGGTTACATGAATCAAACCAGTATTCAGGAGTATAGTCAGCCCTTTAACTACTGCATGTTGTTAGAATTGAATATTTCAAAATACTTGCCCTGTATCATGCTAAAAGATTCATCTTATAGCACACAAATGGAAGGTAATATACAATGCAAGAGGCGGAGTATCAAACTATATTTATTGTATACAGTATAGGGACAACAAATAATGTACAAATCCCAAAACAAAAATGGGGAGGGGGTGGGGAGGGGTGATCTGCCAATGTCACCCTGCAAAGCTAACAAATGAAGACACAAAAACGAAGGACATTCTTATAAAACAAGATTTCTACTTACCAACACACAAGAGTCAAACAAACTAAGGATGTTTGGATAGATGTTGGACAAATGTATTCATATTGGCAACACAACATTGACTCAATATATATTTATACACAGACTAAATTATATAACAGCGGATGGGACACTGGTTAAGGTGAATTACTTTTATTCTGAAGTTCTGAAAAGGTGGAAAGAAATCAACACATCAAGAGAACTGTTTTGCTCACAGAAACCCTTTACATCTACAGATTATATATTAACCAAACCCTTTTTTATAAAAGAACACTATTCATTTAGCTTTTTGGTCCAGAAACATGACTGTACTTTATTTACCAAAGAGTCGAGGGTGACAGTATAGAGATACACCAGCCACATGAATCTTTCTCAGCACAGTTCTTTCTTGAGCAGGGATACATCAAATCATTTTCAATGTTCCTTGGGGAAGGGGAAAAAAAAAAAAAAAAAAAAAAAAAAAAATAAAACCTACTAAAAGTGTATTACTTGAGAAAGTCGTCATTATGTCTTCCCCCAACTACAGAGAGAAACCACAGGCTGCCATCTAGCAGCTATCCTCCAAGTACATGAATTAAAAATAGTTGAGCCCACCCTGAATTTAAATGCTCACAACAATCTGGAAAACTTAAACAAAAAGAGGGGAAAAAAATAAAATAAAAAAATAGGATTTTGGCATGTAGTTCAGCTTATGGTTTATGAGACCTGCATGTGGTCATTTCAACATCAAAAGAACGCAGTGTGTTATTTTATTTCTTCATTACAAGCCATATCTGTCTGAGACGTGTCCCTGCCTTGGACAATTACAAATCATCCATTTATGTGAATAAAACACTTTTTAAAAAATTACCCTGCATCTCAAAGTTAGGATTTGGCCCCAAATGAAAACCTTTTATGTTGTGAACAGCCTGACCAAGCACAGTGGGGGAGGAGGGGGGAGAATTAAGAGAAAACAAATAAAACATGAAAATAATGATGTGGATGTTCTCCCAAGAGTCCACATCCGACTTAAGAAGAAACTCCTCCCGTCTGTTGTTGAAATACGTCAATAGTGTCCTCATCCTCCATCTCCAGCTGAAATAAACAAAACAAAAAAACTGAAGAGATTATTCTACAGCAAATATATATTTATCCCCATAAGTACAGCTGGTTATAGCTGTACTCCTAAATACCCTTTGGTACTGAAAGCAATGTGTCCTGCAATAGTATTGAAAAGTACCATAAACTAGCATGTCTAGATTAGCAATTCTCTGCTCCATCTATAAAGTTCCTGATTTATATTAATATTTCTAGACAAATGTATTTAGGTAATGTTTTTAGATTGCTGCTTGTATTTTCACAAATTGTAACCATTGGATTCATTTATTTTAATGAAAAGGTGTTTATTCAAAAAAACGACATGTTCATGCTCACAGTGAGGTATTGAAGGAAATGATTGGTTTCAGTACGAGAACTCTGGTATCATACTGGTAACATCTTGGGCAAATATAAAATGATATCCAACCCTAAATGGACAACTATCTTTACACTGGGTTCTTTCTTAAATTTAACCTTGATCCAATGAATATGACACCCATCCCATGATCTTAAAAAAGTATTTTCGTTGCCAGGTACATACACTTTTTTACACTGAGTAAACAAGTGTGAGCATTCATGCAGCTTTGCAGAAACCATTCTGAAAACCCCCCCTTGTGTGCTTTCTTGACAAATTTTAGATCGAGATCAATACCGTATCATGTCTGTGAACTAAAGATTAAGCTACTGCCATCTGGTGATTAGCCAAAACTAGAATGAATGGCAAAATGCTAGCCATGGTCCATCCAAATGAAACAAAATCCTGATGTGAGAACTGAGAGTTACCTGGTGAAAATATAAAATAGAATACTGACCAAGACTGAATAAATGTATACTCTACTAACCAGAACTCTTTCCATTATTTCCCCATTTAATTTATGTCTTGTTACACATCTACTCTCTACCACACAGATCAAGAGTAACAACACACACTTCACCAATTTGGACAGTGTACAAAGGTCAATGACATGACACACACTAGTGTTCTGACGCATTACCCAATTGTGGCTCGAAATAAATTAAAAACTTGAATGACCTGAGAACAGTTTGCCCTTTTGAGGATTTATGAAGAGACCAGCTTTCACCAACCTGTGCAGGTGTGTCCGTTTCATTAATTGGCTGTCCATCAAACCTAAACCGTATCTGACGAATTGACAATCCCTGTAAAAGACAGAAATAACATATCAATAAAACAGTTCTATTGTTATCCCAGGAAAATGCACATTTATGTTTCAGTCTTTCAGAATGACTTACCTGTCTTTCGCAGTATGCTTTCATTAGTTTGCTGAGTGGAGTGTGCCTTTTGATTTTGAACTGTACGACTGACCCGTCCTGACCAGCTACCTTGAGGTTAATGTGGTCGTTCTCCGTCTTCACTCCCTCCTGCAACGAAAAACGCACTCAGTGGAACAAACATACCTGATGTTATGAGAACGTTATGATAAAATAAAAACAAAAAAGGTGGATTGCAGCAAGTACTACACTGTGCATGGTGTCACAAATTAATCAGACAGTATGTTGAACAAGTCAGGTGGCTGAGCGATGAGAGGAGACACGCTTGCAGGTTATAGTCGGCTCCTTCCTGAAAGGCCTGGCCCCAAATGACTCCCATATGCTGATTATGTTATGGGGGGGGGGGGGGGTTTCAACATTTAAACTACAACTAGTCAGTCCTGCTGTTTACAGAATCTCACTCACCTACACATCTAAGATGAGAGTGTATTGTATCGGATATGTTATTCAGAGAAGATACAGATCATTCGGGAAGAAAGCTCTGCTTCCTCATTACGCTCTCAACATTTGCCATCACAACAAGCTACCACACATCAGGCCATCAGTTAATCTGACCCGAGTTGATCCTGAACACCGGTTCCCGGTGGAATGACGTTCGTCTACAACAAACAAGTTAACTTAACTAGCCGGCTAACTTCAGTTAGCTGCCGTTACATTTAACAAGACGAGTGGTCCGTGGGGGCAGGCTTCGCCATCCAAAACACTGCACTCCCACTCATTCGGTTCTCCATTTGGTTAGCATAGCAAGCTAGTCCGTGTTCGAACTGGCGCAGAAAGCCACAATGGCGCAAATGAATGGAAAAAACACAAATCGTGCATTTCATTGAAAATCGCTGATGCCGACGTTAGCAAACATATTAATTTAAAAGTGAACACATGAGTAACTAGCAGTAGCTGATGTTTGTATTAGTGGGACTCTGTAAACACAAAACGGAGCGTCTAAAGCCAAAATATCCGCAAATTGGTCAACCTTTGTTTTCTCCGTCGACCCGCTCAAAATGCGGTAACTGTAGCCTGGAAGCACGGCTAGCTTAGCAGAACGTGCTAGCTAATGTTAACTTGCAACTAGCATCATTAGCAACTAACGGCAAACATGGTCAAAATGTTGCTTCGAATAAACTCAGTAACGTTACCGACCTTTGGCTTTTCTTCAGACATTGTGCTATTTTCCCGGGGAATTTATTAATAACGCAGAGAGACAGACTGTTTGCGGTGTAGCGACTTATCAGTTCCTCCGGCGTTTCGCTTGGACCAGGAGCGCGCACTGAAATTTAAAATACAATTCGACGAAATGGGTCACGTGCTCCACCTTTTCTTCGGGGCCGCGGATACGTGAGCGCGCAAGTTAATTTGCGCACTCCCGCGACATAGGTAAAACAAAAGGGCCGTTTTTGCAAGGCCAGGCTTTAGTACAGACCAGGGTCGGTTAAAAGCATTGAACTGAACCTGCAGTGGGAGTCGGAAACTACAACAAACCAACCAGGATTCAAAGAAAATGGTCTCAGGATATTTAACATTTCTTAGTCATGGGATGAAATTTATGCAATTTGGGATTTTACATGGTCACAACTAGTCCCTCACAGTATTCATAACTTGTAGACATGCCCCAAAAAACAACATTGCTGGATTTGGTTCAGTGTGGATCTCACTTGTAGTCTTCAGGAGACTGTATTATCTGTTTTTCTGAAATCTTTGAAGGGAAAAGTATACTCGGGCACTGCAACATGCATTGAGTTTTTTCTGAAAGGTGATAGATGTAGGAGGGTGAGATGGAAGCACACAGATAACATTGATTCCAACATGGGAATTATGTTTCCATACTTTCTCTCAGTTCTGAATAACTTTTTTTGCCATTTCTTGTTTCTGTATTTGTGTTTGGGTAGATTGGGGCTTGAGGTAAATGGGGAAATTGCGAATTTGGAAATTGATTAAGAATGAAAGTCACAAGTTATTCATTTTATTTTGAAATGGTCACAATTTGTTTGTCACAAAAATCAAATCCCTCACATGTAGTTACATTTTGTTTATCCAGGAAAGTTCAGGACTATTCTGATCCTGATATTTATTCACAGATAAAAAAGCAATAAGCGTAAAATGAGTTACATGTGATAAATTAAATTTTTATATAAAAATAAATGTTGTACTTGAGAGATGAATGGCGATCAGTAAAATAGTGTGTATTACTGATATAATATGACAACGATACTGCTGGTTATAAAAGAAGCACCACAAACTCTGATCAACTCTTGAGTTATAGAAATCTAACAACAGTGCATGTTATGCAAAATGACACAGGAATGTTTGCATATCATGGTGGACAATAGGTTTTGACAGATTTACCCTTACATCTAAGTTTCTTGTGTGGACAGAAAAACAAGTCAACTGAACACATTCTCCTATAATCATTTATATCTAATTAAGGCATAACAAATATGAATCTGGTGCAACAACAGAGAGCAACGTGTATAAAATATGAAACATTAGGTGAATAGACCATGTTTGAAATATAGTGCACACTAAATCATTTCAAAACATCTTGGTGTTTTTTTTGCAGACACAGAAACCAAATCAGATAATCACATTTTCTTATATGCTACATGTGTATCTCAATGTTACTGGCATCAATAAAATCAACTTAAGGGATTTGCTTATGGAATCACCGCTGAAACACTTCTCAATGATCGTTCATACGGGCGTATGGATTATCCTTTGCCATACCTGTAAAACACAATGGAGAACAAATCTTATAACCCATTGTATGGCATATTACTGGATTAGAAATACAACACATCCGGACTAGTTAGCAAGTGTTTGCTGGTTGCATACAATTTGAATTGTGGGTTAAAAGCAAGTAAATCACTGTATTTCTAAAATCCTTGTCTTCCAAAAATCGAAGTAAAAAGTGTTAGAAGTGAATGATAGTGCATCAGCTTTGTATGGTGTCATTTGTATCCAGTAGATGGCGCTACTTGATCAAAATTATGGTTTATATTTTGACTCTCTTGTTTTATGAAGACTTTTCTTATGTTGTTCCTAGTTTCCTCAGCTCAGGTTCCATTATCGTTATCTTGTGTTATCTATCTTATCGTTCCCACACCCCGTTATGCATTCATTTTGAAACTCTTTTAGCACTGTGCATGTAAGCAAAGCTTTGCAAAAAAAGCATGTCTGATACAGCATTTACATTTAAGACATTAGTCTCACCATATTTCTGCCTGATCTCATCGTGTCTCAGCTGCATTTCTGTACTCCTGTAAGGGACGACACAAAAGACAAACTGTTGGACAACAGAGAACACTGGACACACTCACGCCTACAGTGTTTGAATCCTCACAACACAAAGTACTGCTGTAATAAGCTGATGGTAAATACCACAAAACCTATTTATTCATTTTACATACCTGCCACTTAAAAATACACAACAACATAAAATTACATTTCTGAGAAGGCAAGAACATTCGGCCTCTTTTATCTTGAACATTTATTTATCAACATGCTGACGTGGACAGTCCACAATATGTGCTTTAGATGACTCCCTCTTATATTATTTTATGGTTATTGTTATAATGACACTTATTGAAACAAATATGGGTTTATTGTTTGTTTATCTGAATATATATAGTTATATTTGTTAATTTTGTAGATCCCCTCCTCAACAGTTACACTTACTTCGCCTTCTGACGACTCTTCCTCGCACGGGTTTGTCGCTCCACTTTTGCGTCTTCTCTCTTGTTCCTAGAATAAACAGTTATATTATTATTCATCATAGTTGTGTTTTTGTACATAAAAGCTTACATTGCAATATAAATGACAATAGTGAGACCAGAAGTCTGATGTGATTTTCTGTTAGCCTCATACAACACAAGTAAGTCAGGTAATCAGTCTCATAGTCTAACAATATTATATATTGTTAGACTATATATATATATATAATATATATTATATATATAT